AAACCAAATTCAAACAAGTTACTATAATAAAGTCTGGGTGCCAACGGTATTTAAACCCAGAAAAAGAATATGCTATGTACTTTAACAAGTTTAAACAAAATTTTGAATTTGAACCCATATTTAGAACAAATCAAAAATGTGCAACACAGGGTCAGCTTCACTAAGTTTCGCATTTCTCTCACGCGTTGCCAATTGAAAAACTTAGATATAATAAAACACCTCCAGAGCAAAGGTTTTGTTTTCTATGTAATGAACAGGCTATTGGGGATGAATTCCATGTTTTACTCAATTGTAAAAATAGTCAGATTGTACAAGCTCATACTAAATTTGAAGCTAAATTACCAATTTATGATGACAACATTTGCAAGTTATCAACTCTTGAGAAATTCAAGTGCTTGCTAGGCACTAAAGATAGCTTCATTGTCAATTGCTTGGGAAAATTTATTGATTTTATATCTAAGCTTTAGTTTAGTCTATTGTTTTGTTTGTGTTTTTCTTGACCATTGATTTATTGTATGTTTTTTCATTCATGCTAAATTTTGTGTCAAATAAAATATCTATCTACCTATATATGTACCAGGGGCACTGTCAGCGGCAATACCAGGATCCTTTCAATCAAAACAAACAAAACAATAAGCTCTGAACTTTAGTATTACCAATGTCAAGATCAAAAGCTCTTGAATTGTGTAGGAAGTGTTATTTGGAATTCCTATTCCAGAGACTGAGCGAATTGAGGGTACACTTCTTAGTTTGTATGCTAGTGACTTGGTGAATAATATGTAGAAATTTTTGGTTTGAGTCAAACATGTTTAGTTAAGTCTAAATTATGTAACCAGCTTCCAAAAGTTGATTTGAATATATGTCCAATCAAAATTACAATGAAATAATAATCTACTGGAATCCCAAATTATTTTGATAAATCAAAACTATTCGTATGGCCATTTAGTGTAGAGCCTGATCAGTATATGAATTACATTTCCTATGACATTTTACACTTATACACATGCATGGGTTAAAAAATACTGAATCCCTAACTTACCATGATATGTATATAGTGTTGGCCATTGTTATGAAGTTCATCAATGAATTTTGGTAAATCCCCAAATACTTTCTTATTTAAAGTGCAATCTTTGTAGGCTACAGCGTAGTCAATGTCATTCCACTGTACATCCTAGTTCAGAGAAGTAAATTTAAATATTCATGAGAATTATCTTTAAACATAAACAATTGATAAACATTTTTAAGTTTGATGAAAAGTACAAAAATTATTAGAAAAATTATGACACAAGCCATCTACTGATAAAAAGTCTAAAATAACAATACCTGTGGTATTTTGGCATTTCTCATTCTGTCAGTGACTTTTCTTGTACCATCAACAGTTTCATATCCCCATCTACACAGGTGGAATCCCAAACCCCAATACGGTGGCATAAATGTTCTTCCAATCACTTCAGTGTATTGCTGTATCACTTGGTCAAGGCTGGGTCCAAAGAAGACATAACAATCTAAAACACCACCAACAGTCCTCCATGTGATGGATGGAGACATCTGAAAAATTGACTCTGAAAACAGTAAACAAAGGAATAATTTGATATAGCTAGGGTAACACTAGATCTCGTTAGTTAATAAGGTTAATACATAAATAAATGAATGAGCCATAAGGAGGGTGGAAACCAATTTATGTAGCATTTTTAGTTAGAACTTGCTGACTATGCAGTCAACGAAACAAAACAAATTTTTAGGATAAACATTTTGGTTGAACACAATGATACATCATGAAAATAAACTAATGTTTGAGAATCATGCACTTGATACAATTTGGGTCAAATACGTGTTGTTTATTTGACACAAAATTTTAATGCGTAAGGTTCATATCCATTGCTTTGTAACCACAGTCCTTTCAATTAGTGTGACTTCAAAGTAATTTTTATGTTTTTCCAGATTATGAAGGATCATACTCAGGAAGTATATGTTGCATAGTGAATTGTAAAAAAAATAGTATAATATACAAAATTGAGGATTGTTCTATCTTAACTTCTGAACCTTTTCAACATCAGACTTTCTCAGCCAAATTTTCTGCACTTTTTTTCTTATATTCTAATTTCAGAGCCAACAGACAAAGTTTGAGTCAATTTTCAGTTTTCACTCAAAAATTTTGGCTAATTTTGTCCTAACCTTCTGACGGAAAGTGCAGAATATAAATTGGACTATTTTGTTAATTGGTGATGAAAAGAGGGAACTGGTGGTAAAAAGGTTAACAGTTCCATGACAATTTCTCAGAGAATATACAACTATCATACATACCCATAGCATTGCTGTTGAGTAAGAACACACCATGTGCATTGCCATCATCTTCAATAGACAGATAGAATGGATGAACACTATACAAGTTTAAATTTTCCTAAATAATGGGAAAATAAATAAATATCATTAATATTTTCCAGTTTTCAAGTCAGATAAAACACAAATCTATTAACAGCGCCCTCTGTAGTCCATATTACATTGTACTTACAGCGTGGAAAACATCCCTGCTCCAGAAAGCATATCTAGACCAGTTGACATCATGTAGAAAACTACCACAGTGTTCACCAAGTCCATATATGTACTTAGATGCCAGTGAACTTGACAGCTGTATGAACTGATCAGCAAATATTAGTGGACCAATGCCACAATTAAACCTGTGCATATAAACAAAAGAAACAAATAAATCAGAAGATTGAGGGCACATTTTTAGTTTTAGACCCTTCTCCTAAAAAAATGTTTTATATTGGGCAGCAGCCTTAATTAGGCTTACAAGATAACACATGCATTGGAAGCATATAATAAACATTGAATATGTATCTTGTGGTATTGAATAATCTTACTATAAAATATTATTGTTTTGACTAAAATTACTAATCAAAGAAAGCTTAGAAAGAACTCCCATGTGCTGAGAGTATTGGAAACACGTTAAAAAATAATTCGAAAATACTTGTCCTTGAGATATTGATGGAAAAGCTGAAAACTATTTATGCAAATCATAAAATTAATATGAACAGATTGTAAAACTAATGAGGTCTGCACAATGTAACAGACCATCTATGTACCAAGTTTTATTGAAATGTGATTAGAACCAAAAAATTATGAATTATTATGCTAATTAGAGAATTAATATGAACAGATTTTAACCCCAAACTAATCAGCTTTGTACATTCTCTTAGAGCATCATTGTACTAAGTTTCATTGAAATGGAATAATTAGTACTTTAGATATCAGTGTGATAGCCCAAAATTGGTCAATTATACAAATTAGGTAATTAATATGTACAGATTTTAACCCACAATTAATCAGGTCTGTATATTGTCCTACAGCATCCATGTACAAAGTTTCATTGAAATGTGATGATTAGCACTTGAGATATCAGTGTGAAAATTGGTTAGTTATGCAAATTAGGTGATTAATATTCATAAATATTTACCGAAAACTAATTGGGTCTCTGCATAGTTCTAGATTCATTGAAATGTGATAATTAGAACTCGAAATATCAGTGGAAAAGCTGAAAATTAATTAAGATTATAAATAAAACATTTTTTTTTTCAAACTGCCATTTTTTATTAAATTATTGTTTAAACCTTTATTTACCATTTGGTCGTCACTGAGCATCTAACACCCATGTATCGTTCTTGACATATGGCCTCGTTTTATTGAAATGATTAAATCTCACCAAAGGAACATTATGTACCTAGGATGAGAGCAATTTGGCTAGTGTTCAAGAAGAAGTTGTTTGGAAAAAAGGTGACGTGAGACAACGGGCAATCATCTATACCAACAGTCCTGCCTGTCATCTTTAACAGTGGAGCTAAAAAGCAGTACCATATTTTATACATGCATCTCAAAACTAGGTGAAAGGAAAAAATAATTTGCACTGTATTGCTACCCTTTTTAATGATTTACTAGAACAAGTGGTTTCATGTTTTAAATAGCTCCATGGTTGTTGTAACAACATGTTTGTGTTACACAAGTGTCCATAAAAACCCTAATGTCTGAAAATAACAAATTAATAACGCAAAATGAATCAGAAATGACTAAAATACCATCACAAAAACTAAAGACCAACACTAAAAGAGCTATGGACCCCCAGCTAGTATCAAAGTAATTGAGCTGGTAGTTTTCAAGTAGAAGTGGAAAATAGCCTTTTTTAACAAATATCACAAAAATATTGAAGTTATCGCCACAATATGAACTAGTCTGACAGAGGTCAATTCAATACATGTGCACTATCGATATCAGCTGTGTAGACCAAAGCATTTTAATAATTTTTGGTAGCTAATTTGTATAATTGTTGGCAGCCTGTTGAGTTAAAAACCTAAACCTTGCTTGTTCATGTTTTGTATTGATTATAAGAGTTTAAAATACAAGCATGCCATCCCTTGTAAAAAGATTGATTTTCTAAATATAGAGAGAAGTATATTCATGGGTGCCATGTCTATGTTACCCCACACTTCAATACTAATTCCAAATACTGTACAATACTTTATTTTAGCAGGAAATAATTTTCCCTGAAAAGATTTTTTTTTTTTTTTGTATGGAATTAATTTTCACAGATTTTTGACAAGTTGAATGCAAAATTGAATGCAAAATATAGAAAAAAAAGTATAAAAATTATATATTCCTGGATTTTATTTTCACTGAATCATTCCTTCAGCGAAAATAGCGAAAATTAATTCAAAGCAAAAATAAAGTATTTTACACAGTATGGTTTTGAAACTTACATAAATTGCTACAAAAAAAATTATCAAATTCTGGAACTGACAAAAACTTAATCTGGAAAACTATTAACAGCGCCCACTGTAGTCCACATTACATTGCACTTACAGCGGGGAAAACATCCCTGCTCCAGAAAGCATATCTAGACCAGTTGACATCATGTAGAAAACTACCACGGTGTTCACCAAGTCCATATATGTACTCAGATGCCAGTGAACTTGGCAGCTGTATGAACTGATCAGCAAATATTAGTGGACCAATGCCACAATTAAACCTGTGCATATAAACAAAAGAAACAAATAAATCAGAAGATTGAGGGCACATTTTTAGTTTTAGACCCTTCTCCTAAAAAAATGTTTTATATTGGGCAGCAGCCTTAATTAGGCTTACAAGATAACACATGCATTGGAAGCATATAATAAACATTGAATATGTATCTTGTGGTATTGAATAATCTTACTATAAAATATTATTGTTTTGACTAAAATTACTAATCAAAGAAAACTTAGAAAGAACTCCCATGTGCTGAGAGTATTGGAAACACGTTAAAAAATAATTCGAAAATACTTGTCCTTGAGATATTGATGGAAAAGCTGAAAACTATTTATGCAAATCAGAAAATTAATATGAACAGATTGTAAAACTAATGAGGTCTGCACAATGTAACAGACCATCTATGTACCAAGTTTTATTGAAATGTGAATAGAACCAAAAAATTATGAATTATTATGCTAATTAGGGAATTAATATGAACAGATTTTAACCCCAAACTAATCAGCTTTGTACATTGTCTTAGAGCATCATTGTACTAGTTTCATTGAAATGAATAATTAGTACTTTAGATATCAGTGTGATAGCCCAAATTGG